TGTGTATATTTATTATGTATATATAAATACACACACATGCATGTATATATTTCAGAAAAATATGTTATGTTTATATATTAAATATATTTATATATAATATAAATTATATGAATATATATACATGTAAATATTTTCAAAATATATACTGTATGTGTGTGTATTTATATATACATAATAAATATACACAGTACACACACACACACATATTATGTACACAAAAACTTTTGGATGCGATTAATCATTTGACAGCACTAGTTTAAATTCTAATGGGTCAAGGTTAGAATAACATGTTTTAGTGCGCCGACTAGTGGTAAAACTATCATATTGCAATTCCAAGTGCTTGATGACAGTGAAATATTTTTTCATCACACTGTAAATAAACAGAGACTATGCAAATGCAAAGCATAATTTAATTTAAATCTGCAAATAACAATACACTTTTACAGTCTGCACCTTCTTATACAAATCACAATTTTCAAAATGTCTCAGCAAGGGGTAATAAAATGATTGATCACGACACTACGATTACAACGATTGTGTTAACAGGAGAATAACATCATACAAACACTCATCCACGCATACATGCACAAACACGCACATATGTGTGCATAAACACTAGGGGCGCAGCTGAAAGTTTCTTGTGCTCTTTAAGATGCATTTAAGACATGCGACAGTCAGTTCAGGTGAGGATAATATGGGACTCTTTTAATGTGATTATAATAACAGCATCTGATTCATTATCACTGACTTGCCAGAGCAGTTTAGTAACATAAGAAGGTTTGATTTCAGACCAGAGCTGCTTGCTTCATGTCTTTGTGCATAGCAAAAAAATGCTCTTGTGTGCTGTGCTTTGAAAAAAGACTATTCTCAGGTTTCTATCTGATTAAACCTTTGCCCTTTGTTGACTTCTTGTTCATCAAATGATTGGAACAGGTAAGTGCATACGAAGATGCACATCCCCATAGGAATAGTTACAAACATGCAGCACAAAAACCTTTCACACGACTAGACACAAGACACAAAGATACAGGAACAAACACACAGAGAACTGATCTTGTGTGCTCAGGCACACTCACTCACACATAGAAAAATAAGTAAATAACAAGTAGGTCCAAAGCATCATTAGACAGTTTAACAGGATCCAGAACAGTCAGTTGACCGAGTGCAGCTTTGTCTTGCGTCTCTGAGTAAAGCTTGTCCAGAAAGCGAGAAGTGTGACTTCTGCGTTTGATCATATCAGATGTCGCCTTGGTCTCTGTACAGTCACACCATTTCTAAATATTGTCTTGAGTGTCTGATGCTGAGATACATTGTGCCACCACAGTGAAATGTGTTGAATTGCTGTTTTTGTGGTCTGTTGGCTTCTTTCAGACCTCAGAAAGTGAAGCCTGCTGTTATTTTGCACCCACAACAGCACTTACAATATCTGATGCTGTGAACACAGTCACGGAACTTCAGTAATATTCTCTCATAAATCTCACAGCTGCAGGAAAACATTATAGAATGTAAACATATTCAGCAGGTCTGCATGGGACAAAATGAAAGCTTTGCAACCTTACAAATGACAAAAAGTGTTAATGAGTAATCTTATAATCTTATAACAGGGCTTCCACATATTCTGACCGATGAATTTTCAAGATTTTTATAATTTTATAGAGGTTACACTCACAAAGAGAAATGAAATATTTTAGAGATGAGCATAACTAACAATTAATATAGACTATTGAAATTTCCATTACTTTAAGATTTTTTTTCCAGGTCTAGTAATCAAAATTCCCTGACATTTTCAGATTTTCCATGACCTTGGGAATGTGATGATTAAGTACACATTTACACTATTAATATTAGGGACCATTTCAAACGGTCAAAATAATTATGATTTATAACTTCAAGCAAAAAAAGTGCAACCAAAAAGTGGCTTACTTAAAAAGAAACATACAAACATTAAACTAAAAGATGGCTGCATAGCTCTTTTCAATGTAAATCCACTAAGACTCTTACTGTGCTTACAACTTGGGTTAAATTTAAGACATTTATATGGTCCAGTCCACACTTGTCTCCACAAACTTTAGACTGTTTGATTTGACATTTTTTTCAAGAGCAAAGTGAGGTTTATGTTCAAAAGTCACAGTCATTGGGATCTGAGAAGCGAGATCCTCCCCGACTACCTAGATGCATGGCAGAGGCTGATTTAGGTCTGCTGGTACCGGCCTGATTCTGGTTCTGACTGGGCCCTCCATGAAGTCTGTTGTTGTTGACTTCAGCATCCAGTGTATCTGTGGTGATAACCCAGCTGGCAGGACGCCACTTCTTCAGAGCATAAGGTGTCTTCACTCGCTTCTTGATTTTATCTCCTGATCCCTCTGTCACGTCACCGGCAGACTTGCCTTCTGTGGGTGAACCAAGAGATTACAACATAAACCTGTCATTTTAAAATGTAAAACAATGGGCCTCATTCATTGGATTTATGTGTAAATTGTTCCAAAACTACATATTTTTTCAAACCATTTACAGAGCAATTCATTATGCGGTAACACTTTATTTTAAGGTGTTCTTGTTACACGTTCCATGTACTTACTATTATAATAACAATCAATTATGCATAATTACACGCTAGTAACCCTAAGACAAACCCTAATCCTAACCCTAACCATATAGTAAGTACATGTAGTTAATTAATATTACTCAGTACTTAAATGTATAATTACACTGTAACAAGGACACCTTAAAATAAAGTGTAACCCATTATGTTCATGTTTCAGGAAAAAAGGCCTGTAAGAGTGAACATATTGGTGTAAACATCAAAAATGATTGTTAACAATAAAAATTTAAATATGAAAAGGGTGGTAAATTAACTCTGGCTAGTGAACATCCAATTTTACCAGCCACTCAGATTTTAACCAGTCATTTTTATCAAATGTTAATATATAAAATAACTCATTATATACCGTACATGAAATCGAACTAATTTAAAAAAGCAAATAATTATCTGTTAAAATACATTAGCTAACAGCATTAGCGCAGCGACGGACCGCAAATCTTTGGTCCCACGCGAACCACACCCAAAAGTGGCGACCTTCTGCACAAGTATATGAAACGAAATAATGAAAATAGTGAAACAGTGGATGAATAGTATTGCCGATAGAGGTATACAGTGTAACTTGGCAATATTTCTCTCTATTATTTTAATTTTGAGGGGGTCACTATAAATGGGTCAACCCTGGCTGACACTATCCAGCTATCCCATTCAACTACACATAAAATACCACTAAATATAAAAACTACTATTTAATGTAACTTTAGATCATGTTATCATATGTTAATTAGCAATAATTAAATATGAAATAATTATTATCCACTGTTACAGGAAGCTTGACAGATATTGCCAGAGCTCTTAAATGGACAAAAAGAACGTTTGGAAAACTTTGTAGAAATTAACAGAAGAAATAGATAAGCTACATAAAATAGATAAAATACATAAGCAGTGTCTTAAAGGCCCAAAAATGTCACAATTCTTCAACTCAATTGATTTTTGTTGCCAACTTCTATTATCTTAGTTTGCAACATGAAAGTAAAGCTATTTTCTGTGAAGATGCGAGACTTCTAATTCATTCACCGCAGTACGTAAACAACTAGAAGAATAACAAAGTGAGATAAAACTAGTGGTGCAATGGTTTAAAAAGGTAAAATGCTCTACAAACCAGCTTGTTTATAATTATGACAACACAAGATAATATGATAAAAATACTAATATCAAGTTTGCAACATCAAGTAGAATTTGGAACCCTTGAAAAAAACTCTTTGGTTCTGCGAAAAAGTACATATTTTGCATTCAAAAGGGCAAATTTAGTTCAAATAAGTTGAGTTTAAGCATTGATACTCACCTAGTAATGGCAGTGTGGTCATGGACAGATCTAGTGAGTTGGGTCTCTCAGGTCTGCGCACACGGTTCTGTCTGAGCAGGGCCTCTCCTTGTGTCTGAGCTAGGGGTTGTGCCTGTGGAGGAACCACGGTTGGGGCAGGACACGGGCCGGGCAGCGCAACAGGCTCCACGGTAGAAGCTGATGGAGCATCTCCTGTTGAACCAACATTCTCACTGTTCTCTCCTCCCTCTCCTCCACCCTCAGTGTCTCCCTCACCCTCTTCCTCGCCATTGTTGTTATTGCTGTTGTTGTTGTTTGCATTGTCAGGATGCACCTCTCTTCTCAGAAGAGGCTCTTGCTCGTCAGGGCTAGTGTTCAAGAGGCCAAAGGTCAAGTCCTCTGAACTCATGGCACCCTTCCAACGGACATCAGCAGCATTGGCTGCACTTCCTGCTGACTCAGCTGCTGCTCCGTTCGCATATTTACTCACTGCTGCCGCAGCATCGTTGTTGGCAACGGTAATCGGCCTGGCCTCATGTGCCGCTCTGGCTTTAGCCACACCCATCTCGACTTTCTTCAGATTCGACTTTCCGAGTTTCCCAAACTTCATCCGCAGTGATGAAGACGACAAGGCGGGTGTTTTCCCAGAAGGCTTAGCATGGAGACTTAGGCTACTCGGCCTCTTAGGAACGTTCTGCTGCTTAGGTAGGATGGTTATAGGGGTGTCAGTAAGCCGACCAGAACCCTGTGACCCTGAAACCTCAGAAGCCATCTTCATGAGGGGGTAGAACGGGCCACGTGATGTCGATGTTTCTGAAGAGCAGAACTGCTTCTGCGAAAGCTCCATCAAGCTCTCTTCAGAGCTCTCTCTCAAGTTCCTCTGGACTTCACTTGGGTCCAGTTTTGGTATCTCCAGGTCTTCCTGGGTCAGCTGAGCACAGGGAGGGACACTGTTGCCCACTGGTGGAAGCTGTGTGGCATTGCAGGACTCTGAGACAGGAGTAGGGAAGGAGCTTTCTGTCCCAGACGTTTGTGATTGGGCCTGCTGCCACTCATAGTTGATGCAGTTCCTGTTCTTCTCTGCAGGGTTAGACCCTCCCAACGAGGGTGGGTCCATTGAGGTGTCATTGTGGAGGGGTTTATCAGCGCCCTCCTGGTCTTCAGTGTTTGTAGATGAGTGTTCAAGGAAAGAACCCACCTTAGGCATCTGCCTTCCAGTAGAGAAGTTTCTAGAAAATTTAAGTTGAAATAAGAATCACTTACTGTAAGATAAAGGCCTACATAGACTTATGCACATTGCAAATGACAACAATTGACCATGATTTGTGACAGTTTGTGCTAATTATTTATTATTTTTCTGGAGTTCTACAGACTTTTTAACTGGGACTAACTGGGGATGTGCATTGTGCATTATTAATTATTAATTACCCATGGTTGAATTAATTGTTTGAATGCATTGTTGAAGTTAAGATATTATTGCCTTTGGATTTTCATTAGTTATAAAGCAAGTACTGGTTATTTATTGCTTGTGGTCGTACAGTGCAATAATGAGGTTGTTCAATCAGTGAATGCTGATTATCTGCAGTTTTACAGTGAGTGGTCAGTGATTACTGGTTACTGATTACCTGTGTATGTAGAGTAAGTGGTCAGTATTACAGATTACCTGTTGTTGTACATTTGGTCACTGTTGTTATTGGTCAGTGATTTCTAATTACTTGTGATCATAGTGAGTCAGTGATTATTGGTTACCGCTGGTTGTACAGTGAGCGATCAATGATTTCTGGTTATTGATTACCTGTGGTTGTACAGTGATTAGTCAGTGATTATTGATTACCTGTGGTCGTATAGTGAGTTGTCAATGACTGTTGGTTACCTCTGGTTGTACAGTGAATGGTCAGCAATTACTGATTAACTGCTGTATGTGTTGTAAGTAATCACCGATTACTGGTTATTGATTATTTGCAGTTGTACACTAATTATTAGTTATTCATTACCTGTAGTGAGTGGTCAGTGATTATTGGTTACTGAAAAAATTTTGGGTTATATAGTGAGTGGTCAGTGATTATTGGTTATTGATTGATTATTGATTACCTGTAGCTGTACAGTGAATGGTCAGTGATTATAGGTTACTTGTTATTGATACCTGTGGTTGTACAGTAATTATTTGTTATATATTACCTGTGGTTATACAGTGAGGGGTCAGTGATTATTGGTTACAGATTACATCTGGTTGTACAGTAATTATTGGTTACTGATTACCTGTCGTTGGTTATACAGTTAATGGTCAGTGATTATAGATTACTGATTACTTGTGGTTGTACAACAGTTATTGGTTACTGATTACCTGTGGCTGGTTATACAGTTAATGGTCAGTGATTATATATTACTGATTACTTGTGGTTGTACAGTAGTTATTGGTTATTGATTACATGTGGTTGTAGAGTGAGTGGTCAGTAATTATTGGTTACTTATTACCTGAATCTATAAAGTGAATGGTGAGTGATTAGTGGTTATTGATAATTTTCAGGTTATACAGTTAGTGGTCAGTGATTATAGGTTACTGATTACCTGTGTATAGTATGTGTATACTATACGGTTGTATAGTAATTATTTGTTATTTATTACCCGTGGTTGTACAGTAATTACTGGTTATTGATTACCTGTGGTTGTACAGTGAGCGGTCAGTAATTATTGGTTATTGATTATCTGTGCTTATACAGTCAGTGGTCAGTAATTATTGGTTATTGATTACCTGTGATTGTACAGTGAGTGGTCAGTAATTATTGGTTATTGATTATCTGTGCTTATACAGTGAGTGGTCAGTAATTTTTGGTGTTTGATTACCTGTGATTGTATGGTAAATATTGGTTATTGATTACCTGTGGTTGTACAGTGAGTGGTCACTAATTATTGGTTACTGATTATCTGTGCTTATACAGTGAGTGGTCAGTAATTATTGGTTTTTGATTACCTGAGATTGTATGGTAAATATTGGTTATTGATTACCTGTGGTTGTACAGTCAATTGTCAGTAATTATTGGTTATTGATTACCTGTGATTGTATGGTAAATATTGGTTATTGATTACCTGTGGTTGTACAGTCAATTGTCAGTAATTATTGGTTATTGATTACCTGTGATTGTATGGTAAATATTGGTTATTGATTACCTGTGGTTGTACAGTGAGTGGTCAATAATTATTGGCTTTTGATTACCTGTGATTGTGTGGTAAATACTGGTTATTGATTAACTGTGGTTGTACATTGAGTGGTCAGTAATTATTGGTTATTGATTACCTGTGGTTGTACAGTGAGTGGTCAATAATTATTGGTTTTTGATTACCTGTGATTGTATGGTAAATATTGGCTATTGATTACCTGTGGTTAAACAGTGCAGTACTGGGGTTAAGAGCAGGACTGACTGATTTTTCCCTGTCCCAGATAAGGAGCAGTTCAGCAAGTCTCTCCTCTGCACACTGAGCCGTCAGTCGGGCTTCAGCATCCTGATCCCAGCAGTCTTCCATTGTCTCTTTCAGAGAGTGCACTGTCTGCAGATAAACACAGACACATACATCAACATCAACAAATCTATTTTAGTCCACTAAAGTTGATAAGCTGCATTTGTGTGTGTTCACGTCTTAATTTCTCACCAGGCTATTTTCTTTCCAGGCCTCTGGGAATTTGGGTCTTTCTTTTTCTCGGGACACAAGTGCCTGCATGTCTTCTATGGTAGGGTGATTACCCACCTCTGCCTGAAACGCCATCTGAAAAGCTGGAACTGTCTCACCTAGTGGGATAGAAGATTTTTATTGAGTACAAACAGTAGCTGTGACATGGAAAGATCTGCACGTGTACATGTGTGTGTGGTACCTGGGAAGAGGTCCGCACACCGCATGAAGGTCTCCCAGTAAAGCAGACCCAGCGCATAAACATCCACTTGTTTCAGCGCTGACTCACAATCTCTTAGATTGACTGCCCCTTCTAACACTTCTGGAGCCATGTATCGCACTGTACCCACCTATTGAGTGAGATGAAGAGGTAAAACATATGATTAGTCCGAGGTATTATTGTCCAAATCACTGGTCTGCTTTAGATTTTGCTGGGTTGGTTCAGACTGGACCATTCTAAATTGCTGTTTGCTGACCTCACTGATGGCACTGTTGTCCTCTTCTGCATGCCCAGGCGGTCTCTTTCCCGTCAGAATCATGGAAAGTCCAAAATCACTGATCACACACGAGCCATCTGTCTTCACCAGCACATTCCTACTGTTCAGATCCCGGTGGGACACGGCCGGTTTATACACATCTAACAATGAGAAGAACAGAGGGAAGGAAAAGAGAGATTGAAGGCGGGGAGTGGGATGAGAGAGGAGAGAAAATTACACGAGAGTGAATAATAATATCAGAATTACCACTAGAGAGCACTAGGAGCCACTTGTGTCTCCAGAAATAACCTATGTAACAGGGATTTTACCAATGTAAGTGGTCCAGTCAGGCACAAGTGCTTAAAACACTTAAAAATACAGTAAATAAATTTAATGCACAGCTTTGAGTGGCTTATGTTTGTTTCCTCTGTTTTACAAAAGCCACTGAAATATATAATAAAAAAATGGCTATTTTATTAAATGTTTATTTTATCATTTAGTTTTTTATGTATTTTTATCCGTAAATAATTGCATTTATTTACTGATTACTAATATAGGTAATATAGGTCATTAAACTCTCTACACTGTCATAGGTAGTGGTCACTGTTTTGTGAAATGAATATCTGTTTGAAAACCAATATTGGTTTGGAAGTGGTCCATCCAAACAGATTTTAGAGCCAGTCCACTTTGTTATATAATAATGCTGTGTATGAGAGCATATATGAGTGTGCATTTGTATATGGAAGTTTGGCCAGTTTCAGAGAGTTAAAAAAAGCATCTGTCATTATATATCAGGATGACTGCACTGAAGATGAAGACATAGCATCACTTTCTTTCTGTCGCAGTCTTTATGCCTTTCATTTCCATGCATTTTTTAAAACTAAATCAAATCTGAACACTTTTAGAGCCTTTCACACTGAAACAAAGAAAACTAAAAAAAAAAGCATTGAGAATTACGCCCCATCCCTGCCTTCCTGCTTTCTCAGACTGAAGCTATAAATAAAGCGCACACACCCACTATCACATCCTATTCTATTTTCAATAGAAATGTAACATTATAAATGTCTTTACTTTTGCTTTTGATCAACGTAATGTGTGCTTGCTGCATTATAATATTAATATCTTTCCCAAAAAAAATCTTACTGACCCTAAACTTTTCAATAGAAGTGTATATCATAATTGCATGAAAAAGAGTGGCCACTATATTCATCAACATTCTGCTTTTGTATTTCACAGAGGAAAGAGCTCGGGTTTGGAACGACAATTGTCTGAAATATGAATTTATTTGTTATTTTGTGTCTCACCCCCTCTCTGTATCTCTGTGTGCAGGTACGCCAACCCTCTGGTGACAGACAGAGCCAAACGACAGCAGCTCAGCCAGTCCACAGTCTGCCCGCACAGATACGTGCACAGAGAGCCCTGGGAAAGACAGAGGGAGTACTCTATTCAGAGGAAATCATCTGCAAAGTACAGGGAGGAACGCACAGGAAAAACAGAGTGGAGGGGCAGAGGAGGGAGAAGCGAGGGAGGACGAGATTAAAGCGCAGAGCAAGAAAGAAAAGCAGTGGTGTATCTCAAAATTTATGCACTCCTGCCATACCTCAGGACTACCTCAGGGATGCTTCCTGTCGCTATGGCAACCTGGCTTGAGGTTAGCCCACAGGAAGTACAGGCTGAAAGCCCACGGTTATGAATAATTGAAAACTTCTCAGCTCAGTCAATAATCTCTCTCTTCCTCCATAATATCGAGAGAGTGTGTTGTGGGTGTGAGTATGTGGCGAGAGGTAAAATGAGGATATCCTGCTAAATTGTAACCTTTTCCTTGTTCCATAAGTCCAAAAAAAAAAAAAGAACGAGAGGATGAAAAAAGTCACAGAGGAAAACTGAAGGAAGAGAATAAGCGAGTTTTAGGTGATATCCGAAGATATCGCATTACACTTGTGAGATGCTGTTACCACAAGATCAAACATGACATAAGATCCCTCAAGTCTCTAAATATAACCACAAAATAAATGCGTGCGCTTTGAAACTGTGATGTAGAGAAGAAGGAATGTGAGAGAAAAAAACAGGAACAGACTAAATGGCTGAGAGGAAAAGAATAAGCAATCTGGAATTAGACTAGAGTTTTTGCGTTTGCTACTTTTTGGGCGGCTAGTTTGGGTTCCTCAGTGTTCTTGCAATACTCACATGCGGGTAAAACTCCAGCAAGAGGAGAAACTCTGTCCGGCCTTCTGTACCGACACGTTCCTCGCTCTCTAAGAAGCGTGCTACGTTCTCATGATCCAGGAGGAGGCGATAAATCATACGCTCATTAGTAAACTGCTGCCGGTTTGCAGAAACAAAAACTTTCACTGCCACAGATCGGTCCTCCAGTGAACCGCGATATACTGTTCCATACCGGCCCCGGCCAGTCAGCTGTGAGGAAAAGAAAGAAATATTCTAATGTTCAAATCCTTGGTGCCAGTAAGATTTTTTAATGTTTAAGTCTCTTATGCTCACCAAGGCTGCATTTACATGATCAAAAATACTGTAAAACATTAATATTATAAAATATTATGACCATTTAAAATAACTGTTTCCTATTTTAATAGGTTTTAAAGTGTAATTTATTCCTGTGATGATCCTCCAGAAATAATTTTAATATGTTGATTTGGTGCTGAAGAAACATTTCTTATTATCGCTGTTGAAAACGGCTGTGCTGCTTAATATTTTTGTAAAAAATAAATGAATTTTTTTCAGGATTCTTTGATGAATAGAAAGTTAAAAATAACATTTATTTTAAAATAGAATTATTTTGTGACTTGTCATTACAAATGCCCTTACTTTCACTTTAATATTTACAACAGGACTATGGGTCTCCTGGGTTTTTTAAGCAGATATTACATTTTTTTATTTAATAAATTATATATTATATATTATTTTATTATAGTATCACAGCGCTACGTGATTTTTAATCAAATCAAACATTTTACCATTTATTTTTACACAGTTTATGTTGCTTCATCAATACTCACATTTTCCATAGGGGTTTATATACACTATTTTCTTTGCTTAAATGAGGCGGAAAAAAAGAATCAAGCTGTGATTGGTCACCTCCAGCAGCACTAGGTTGTCTAAATCCAGAGAAGGAGGGGAAAGCGCAGTCTCCAGAATATCCAAGGTATGTAGAGAGTGTTTACCACGTCCTGGAATACACATAGGTATATAAATCCACATGCACATAGGTAATTTCATTGGCAGGATTGAATCATACATGAAAAGCATCATAACATCACTACAGTAATGCACCTCTTAGCATGCGGTAGCCGGAAAAAAGCAGAATGACAAGGACAGCAACCATGAACACAGTTGCTAATGCTGCAACTATGGCTTCCTCTCTGTAAAGATGGCGGGAATCTTGAAGGATTAAAAGACAAAACGTTAGATCATGGACCAGATAATGAACTAGGATTAACAAATAGTTTGCCAGACTGCTATTAATTAACATTAATACATTTTAATTATAAATAAAAATTAATAATATAATTACAAATAATTAATCAAATTCAACCCGTCTTTCATTTGTACCTACTGTTAGTACAAACACATCTTTCACTCAAACTCATTTGTTTCCGTTTGCTGAACACTCTCTGTATGTCTATGAACCACCCACACACCCACACACACACACTCACGTAGAGGCTGTACGGTGGTGGGGGGAGGAGATGGGAAGTCCTCAGTGAAGTTCAGGTTGCACATGTCTTTTTTGCAGCAGCAGAATCGAAGCGTTCCATTCTTGGCCATTGACGGTGGGCTGGTCACCACGCAGCGGTCATAGCACTCCTGATATTCACCTACATTTGTCCAGCAACCTGTTTCAAATGGAGTAAATCAAGGTGAGACTGACTGTAAAGTGATTTGTGTGTGAATGCGTGGAATGTATTTATGTACCTTGCTTCTCTAGCAGAATTTCATTGTTCTTTTTCACCCAGAGTCCAAAGCAGTGACCTCCTTGATTACAGCGAATGGTGGAGTTCTCAAGAAAGACACGCCCCTCTCCATGTGGCTTTTCTGTGTACGCACACTCCCTCTGCTCATTCTGTGCAGCTAAAAAGTCAGAGGCAGGAAGAGTTGAAATGAGAAAGAAAGACAAAAAATAAGACAAACACAGCATTATGTAAGGATTAGGAAATAAAATGGTAGAATGAATAACTAGATATTTCAAAATATGAGTACTGTAAATATTCTAAAATATATATTTTTTATGTTTTTCTAATATAATATTATAAAAAATGAGAAGAAGATCTGATTAGATGAGCCTTGTTCAAAGCCAATGCATTCACATAATTAAATTACCTCTCTCTCATATATATGTATATAGGCCTATATGTATACTGTATATGATCATCTTCTTCTTGGCAGCTTGGAGTATTAATATAAATTTTACAGTACAAACAAGCCTATAGCTTCATAAAAGCAGTAGCTCACTCAAGGCCTTGCGTTACAGTGGTTTTACCACAATTGACACCAGTTACGTAACAGCACTACTTAAAAAGAATAAGAAACTAATTACAAGCAATAGGACAAAAAACTAGTAGAACAAATTAATAAGAAATGCTACATACATTGTATAAAGTAATCACATGTATAAAACAAAAGTTACAAAAAAAAGTGATTTAGTCAAGAGCAATGAGAGATTTTCTCTCTTTTGCTGGTTGATTAACATGAATGACAGAGAGCAGGAATATTAGACTGCTGTCACTTTAAGAGCTGCCCTGATCCAATATACTGCCACATGTGCTTTCTTTCTCAGCTTCACTTAAGACTTAAATTACTGCGTTTATGAGGATACTTGCAAAGACGGGCATTTTGACACATACAAGTGTGTGTATTTAACTGTTCACGCCCTATAAAGTGGCAAAAATAACTCCCACATTCTATTTGATCCGATTTGATGTCTATTTTCTTTTGTCTGACATTAACATTTCCCTGCTGAAAAAAAAACTATAGAAACCATCACAGAATTTGTAATGGTTTTACTGGCTATAATGGGAATTGTACTGGTTTTAATGAAAACTGTAATGGTGACTGTTGGTCTCTACTGGTAATTGGTCGCCTTCTATAATGATGGCTTGTTAAAACCACTAAATCCTAATGGAATATGTCCCATAACACACTACATGGTTAAAAGTTGACGGTTTGTAATCTTTGTAATGGTATTTGTAGTGGAAACCATTAGAATTTGTGTGATGGTTTCTATTGTTTTTTCAGCAGGGGTTCTACATAAGGTCTATGAAGACCTGCCTTACTACATGATGGATTCTGTCTGTCTGGGTCTAAGGGGGGGGGTTATTATGATATCTTAACAGGCGCTCAGTACTATCTAGCAAGTAGCAGAGAAGAAAAAACTGGGTATGGATGTGACTGGTGTTCTTCTGTGGCCATCAGTTGTTTTGAGAATGCAATATCTTAGCCAGAAAGGCTTTGTGAGAAGCAAACTTATGCAGGTGATGCAGTTTGAAGACACTATCAGTGAGGAATGCAGATGACGCTTATCTCGGAAGGGAGCTCAACTTTGGGAGATTATGTCCAAGGACATCCTTAGCTATGATGTCCATAGAGGCATGTCTCTCTCCCCTCCCACTCTCTTCTCTGCTCATGGTCTGCTTTTGGAGGAGGATGTGAACGTTTTCTGATAGCAACACAACTGAGCAGTTACCCAGGGGGCTTTATTCTACTAAACCCACACACTAACCCTGAGAGTGCAAGTGCATGCAAAGACACACACAAACACGTCACAGCTCAGCTGCATTATGCCAGCAGACACGTGTACGTGCACACACTCAGGGATATACAAACATATGTTTTTCAGGTATTATTAATGTATGTCCACACTACATACACACATATAGTAAGTTTACAAAAAGCAGTTGTAATTTTACTGTTCTGAAAGTCAACGGCCATATTTTGTCCACAAATATTGAGTTATAATATTGAGTAATTATATTGAGTCATTTTGTCCATTTTAAATAAAATGTGAGAATTCTCCTGGATTAAAATCATGAACTGTGAAATACTTTTCAAATTGAACAATATGGACTAATAAAAATATTTTTATATATAATATATATAAAATAAAAATAACAATGCTGAAATACATTTTTAAATGTTTGCGACTGAATTTTGATTGATTTTATATATATTTTCATATTCTCTTTCATTTGAAATTGAGCACAGTGGAGTGAAACCTGTTTGTCACAGGACAGATTAGTCTAAGAAACCCAGTATTGCTCATAACTTATTTCTGACAAAATGTGTAGTGATTCTGTCATCATTTACTCACACTCATGTTCTGCCATGAATTTCTTTCTTCTGTGGAACATAGAAGATATTTTGAAGAATGTTGGCAACTAAACAGTTTTGGTTCCCATTAGATGGACAAAAAAATTCAGTGGAAGTCAATGAGAAACTGTTGGGTTACCAACATTCATCTTTTCTGTTCCGCAGTAAAAGAAAGTCATACACTCTCAAAATAAAAGGTACAAAAGCTGTCACTAGGGTGGTACCTTTACAAAAGGTACAAATATGTACCATTTACATACCTGTATGTACACTTTAGGTACTAATACAGTATGTACATTTAAGGTATTTGTATGCACCCTTTAGGGGTAAAAAGGATACAACGTTGTACTCTCTGAAAGGGTACCACAGTGGTAGATTTTGTACCTTTTTTTCTGTGAGTGTACAGGTTTGGAATGACATCTATGGGAGTCTAACTGTTGGAAACAAAATATCTTGAAATGTCCTGCAGTGTAACAACAGTGTCATGTGTTGTGACATACACTCTAAAAAATGCTGGATTGTTTCAACATGGACTAACCCACCTTTTGGGTTAAAAATGTAATGTAAACATGTAACCCAACAGCTAGTCGATATTTGACTCAAAGTTGGGTTGAAACAACCCAAACATTTTTAGACTGATGAAAATTGTTTAAAGTACTCTATTAAAGGAATCTTCTGATGCGATTTCAATTTTTCCTTTCTCTTTGGAGTGTTACAAGCTCTTGGTGCATAAAGAAGATCTGTAAAGTTGCAAAGACTAAAGTCTCAAATCCAAAGAGATATTCTTTATAAAAGTTAAGAGTCAGTCACACCTACCTAAAACGGCTCGTTCTAACACGCCCCCACATATCTACGTCACAATGTGGGAAGATTTGCATAACGCCGCCCAAATGTTCACGCAAAGAAAACACATTTCATTACACCAAATACACAAAATAATGTTCTTTTTAGCAACATCATATGACCCCTTTAAAGCACTTTTCTAATTGTATTATTGTATTGTATACAACTCTATTATGATTGTGATTTGTCATGTTGGATAAAAGCATTAGCTTTTAAAAGAGTATCAAAAACAAAAAGAACTTACAGTGTACATTTTCCCTTATACATATACATATATAATCTAAAATATTGATATTTTAAAAATAATGTCCAGATGCATACAGGATCATTTATAATGTACATGCACATTACTCTATATACACATTAATTCAGTTTCCACCATACAATCAGCCAATGGTGGTTTCTGACACTGGCTGACATATCAACCTAATGAGCATTCAGCCAATGGGAAGCTCTGACACAGGTTGACATATCGGGATAATGAATGTGGTCTGTTCAGCCCTCTCTGTATTCAAGTGACAAGCACACTGGGGAGGAAGAGTGTGTGTATAATGTATGTGTATCCACGAAGATGACTGTTTCTGACAGGGTGAGTAGAGAAAAATGGACTTGCTGCAGTGTACAGAAAAAAATAAAGAAAGGAAAAGTGAGAAATATATATATTATGCCTTAAAAATGTTTCATTGTCACATCAAATTAAATACAAGGACTCTCGCTTTCCTGTAGCTGAGCTGCATGCCAGCATTTTACTGCCTCCTCATCAAAAAGCTGCAAAATATTATTAAATTATAACTCGGGCAACCTGATACCCCTGCAATCCAGTTTATGAAGCACTTCAGTAGCATAACTGCAAACAAAATCCAACTCAGTGAAGTGGATAATTCATGACTCTCCACTTCTAACAGCACTACAAAGCACAGCAATGAGCTCACGACCTACATACTGATTCACATCTAATGCTTCCAGCCAAAAAACCCTCCCTTGCCTTTCCTCCAATCGGTCCATCCAGCCATCCTTTCACCCAGCTGCTCTGCCTAACCGTTTGAGTACACTAAAATACTTACAAGATAAGAAATATTTATGTGCGTGAGAGAGAAAGTGTGAGTTAGAGGTGAGGTGAATAAGAGTCATTCACCATTGTCCTGTAAGAATGCATCCCGTATGAATTGCGCAAATGCTTTATCACCTAAAGCAATAGTTCACCCAAAAAATAAAATGTTGTGAATACTTCATCAAATTCAAAAATGAAAAATGGCACCATAAAATCAGTCCTTATAGCTCCTGTGCTATAATCCAAAAGGGTAACACTTTATTTTACAGTGCCCTTGTTACACATACCTACTATAGTAATTAGTAAAACAAATTAATTATTTTCCCTGAAACAGATGAACGTAAATGTGGCAATGTTTTTTTACATAGGATGTAGAACAAATCACGCTAGCGAGCTGCACTAAAAGGTTAATGTTCGTGACAAAAATACACCACCTACACTAAACCTAACCATTTGTTAGGCAAAAACAAACGTGATATAAAAATAAAAATGCATTTGCTGAAGCAACCATGCCATTTTAGATCTTCTGAATGTCTTTCAGCTCTTTTATTGTGACTCATGCTTCACAAGAATTGTATCTGAATGCAAACCGAGCAAGTTTATTTACTACAGAAAAGTCATAAATATGGAGCAGGGGCCCGTTCTTCATACGTCGCTTATTACATCCGAGATGAAATGTCACATCCAAGATGATATCATCGTGCTAATCAGGATCTGGCTAATTCGGTTCTTCGAACGCACCTGTTGTTGATGATTAGTATGGCTGGATTGAGTTATCTGAGATAATTGCACGTTCATGGATTGGTTTAAAAGGGGCTATGTATCGATACTTGAAACCACGATCAGCAATGCAGCGATTGGCTGGCGGCAAGACAGCAACGTAATGACATCATATAATTAAAAAAGACACCTGACGAAAAACTTGACAAATTTCTGGACTTTTATAAGGAAACAGCAAAGCGAACAAAATTACATAAATGTTATAATAGATAAATTAAATGTGCACTGTTTTTATTTTATTTTAATTTTTTACAGTGTTCCCAGTTATTTATATTCGTGATTTCTAATATTTGTACAGGCTTTACATTTTGATTTCAATGTAGTAATTAGCACATTAATTTAATTTTATATTTGAACAGATTTGTTACGTGACAGCATTATTTAAAGTTTCTTAAGGGTCAAGATCATGTTATCTGCATCTCCTGCGCTCCATCAAGCCACTCCCATAATAGCTGTCACCACTAAAATTAATGCACGACTCTACATTATCTGTATAGCATGTGTGTAAGACTCGAATACAATTATGAAGTAATAATTTTATGACGAATAAATCTTTCAGTGAGTAAAACTGGCTGTGTCTATATAGTATTAAAGACTACACAACATTATTATATTATCTTTAAATTAATTTTTAAATTATTATTATTTTAAATTATTGTCCATGGATCAGTAGGATACTCTTGTAATAAAGTAGCGGTGGTAGCGGACAGATTTTAAGTATCAATTCTGCTTAAAAAGATGCAATCTAATCCTTGTTACATTAAATAAGCCTGCTCCCGAGCAGGTTTAAGTTTACGGACCTGTTGCTATGACAGCTTCAAAGAACCAACCATTCCAAGATCATGCCAAATCGTCAACAATCAAATCCCTGGTTATGTGATGCAAACACCAAAATGTATTAGTTAACAAATCATGCACTATGGTAAATGTGGCATATTGTGCAACTGCACATAGAACCGCACAAAATAGGTCTATATTAATCAATAATCCATCAACGCTCACTTAGTCTGTAATCTTGTAATGTAATCTTCAGCAAATATAAAAAAAATATATATTTTTCATACTGTTTATTATAATACCGTGATGCCTACATTCATAACATTTAACAGTTAAAATGGTTAATGTGCGCTTTTAATTTTTAATTTAGACATAATAGTACATAATTTAATATCTGCCATATTCAATTATCAACCATACCTTAAAAATAATTGGCTTAGCAATATCAGACAGAATTTTTATTTTTACATTTCATTTTTAATACCCTATCACTTTCTTCCTCATGCAAATTTACGGTATGGTATGGTATTTGGAATATAGTGCACACATCATACGGACTACATTGAAAATCCTTTTATGGAGAGCTTTGTGTTTACTTTATTTTGAGTCTGAGTCCACTTACAAATCCAAGAACAGAATGAATATAAAAAGGAATTGTATTCTTTTTCCACTATAGGTTCACTTTTGGCTCCACTTAACATACAGACAGGCCAATAATCTGTTTGACTGATCATCCACTTTCCAAAACAGAACTCTGATATTCTGCAGAAGATTTCCCTGTTTCACGAAAAAAGAAAATCACATGAATTTTGATAGTGTGAATGCGAACCCCTTTCACTTATATTGTGCATTCTAAAAAGCAAATCTCTCAGTGTTTATCTTGACATCGGAGTCCAATTTCAAGGCCAGGAACAGAATGAAAAGATGCAGTTTTTTCTCACATAGTTCACTACTGGGTCTACTTAACATACAAAAAGACTAATAATTTGTTTGACTGATCAATTTTTTTTATATATATTCTGCCAAAGAGCACTCTATTTCACAGAAAAAAATAAAATAACATGCAATTGGAATGAGATGTGGATGAGTAAATGATGTCAAATTGTTCATTCTGGACTGAAATATTCCTGTAAAACTTGGTATGTAAACAAAGCATTTTCACAGATAAACCACCCTTATCAACATACTACAGAGAGTACAGAACAAACCAGAACTACACAATCGAAAGGACATTGCCTCTTCTCAACTCACAGAGTCAAATACACAGCCTTCCCTATCCCAACATGTCACTTACTGTCCTGATGGGGATTTATGATTGATTTCTAATGTATGGTATTTAAAAACGCACACATTCACAAAACTACATGAAACACCAAGACAATCCCACACTATGGAATGCAGTGAATATTTCAGGAAGCACACAAAATTACCGTCACACAAGAAGAGGAAAGAAGAGGAAATTGCACGCACACACACGTACCGTCACACACATATGTTTGGTGGAAAAATGTTCCAGGTCAAAATTAAACAACTAGATACACTGAGGCGAAGTGGGAAATCAGAGGGTGTTTTCACAGTAACTTTGTTTCAGGGGGTCACACAAATTTTGACAATATAATGTGCATTCTAAATGCAAAGCAATCCAGTTTTCACAGGTAAATTAATTTATTATTTTAACATTCTGTTTGCATATTTTTTGTATGATTTTTACATTATAGTTACATTAAACATTATAGAACTTACAAAAATTATAGAATTTACTTACACAAATTTGGGATATTTATATAAAATTTTATTATATTATTAATGTAGACATGTATTAAATGTATTAAAGTAATAATGGAATATTATAACAGTATTTCTGTGATTAAGCTATAGCGTTTGTGCTATTTTTATACTAAATGTATTCAGACTACTGTTTTTCATACAAATACCTAAAAACGCTACATTTTTACCATGGTATTGAGGTGCGATATGTGTGGATTTAACTGGTATCATGATCTAAATGTGTGCTACTATGGAAGACCAATGGTTAATTTGAATAAAACGCAAACAGTCAGAATAATTAAATTTCACCATATAAAAATGAGGTTGTTACAGTTTTTACAGATGTTACTCTTTTGATAATAAACATGAATTTACATCTGCATCCTAACTCAAGCTGCTACTACTACTGTCAACTCAAGCTCCTGTCAAATGTGCATTTCTAAGAGACAAAAAATGTAGTATTATTAATATTGCAGCCTGCACTGAAAATTGTGCAGAAGATGCACGTCATCAAAGTCAGGCAACACAAACCTGTTTCAGGATTTAAAACAATATGACTCATTAGAACATGCAGAAATTAATAAATACATTTTTCTATTAAGATATTTCTTTTGTTAAGGAAAATTGACTGGAAAAGTGTAAAGAACTCAAAAAGTGTTTGTCATGTTCTGACCATAAAAAGCGGTTTAAAAGCACAATTAATGGTCTGGTTTCTATAACTTTCACTTAGGAGCTGCCTTTAAACTTGAAAGAAATAAAGATGTGAAATGTATTGTGATAATTATCGATATCGACTATCTAAATGATCAGGATAATTTTTTGGCCATATCACCCAGCCTTACTTATGCACTAATAGTATTTAAAATTTTGAATGAGCTTTTTATATGTCCAGTTTTCATTTTCATTTTAGTTTGTTTTAGTGATTTTGTTATGTGCCTTTGTCATTTTTATTTGTTTTCTATATATTTCTATTTAGATTTTTTTGTTTCCATTTTTCATTTAGTAATCTTAGTACTTGCCAACATTTCTCATTTTTATTTAAGTTTACATTTTTCGTCTAATATTTACATACATTTTAAATTTCAGCATTATTTAAATTACAGAAAACATTTTTTTTTTGGCTTTTTTTTTGGCGTTTTTTTTGGCTTTGTTATGATAGGACAGTTCGTTGACAGGAAGCAAAGTGGAAGAAAGTGAGGGGGGACAGGGTCAGGAAAACTCCACACGCTGGGACTTGAACTCGGGACACCTAAAGCGCAACAATGTTATATTGGCGGCGCCCAAAAACATTCTTTAATAGTTTTAGCTAATGATAACAGCTCTATTCATAATGCTTGTAGTTTTATTGTTGAAGTCTAATAATCAAGCTATCATTGTAGCAAAAATAAAATTGTCCTACATACTGGTTGTAAAAACACTTTGACTGACTGACTGAGTTTGATACTGCTCTACAACCAATAACAACACTACTTTAATGGCACCATAGGAACTACAAATCTGAGGCTGGCGTGAATCTGAAGTGGACATAAGCAAGCTTTTAAGGTTCTTGAGTGGTGTACTGTCCTCAGATATCTGTCCGAGCAGATATTTGGCTCTGGTTCCAGTCCGGATGGTCAGACTGCAGGGTTAGCTGTGGAGAAGGCCCATCTGCAAGCCATAATGTGCCTATTTAAGCATCAAACCGCAAGATGAGAAATTAAGTTTCATGCTTGTCTTAACAGCTAATCAGTGTTTAGCCTTTATTCTCCCTACATGAACCATGAGCAGGGTCAGCTCTTATCTTATCTGTGTGATGCTCAGTAGCTCTGCAGCTCAGCTCAGTGCCAGAAAGAGCACACACACAGACACACACATACATCCACACAGACAAGGACACACAAAAGTGCAGATCTCTTGACTCACACACACCTACTCGCTTTGTTACTTATCCATAAATACACAAACACACACACACACACACACACACACTCACTCAGGAAATTAAGAGTTCCTGATGGATGTGGGGTGGCAGTAAATTCACCACAAAACTGGCAGGACACAAACACACACACACACACACAGTGTACAATTAATTACGCCTTCACTTTGAGAGGACATGGAGGGATATGGAAACCAGGGTGTGGAACAGCAATTTTACTGTAATTCTATTATATTTACTGCCATTCTTTCTATTGCTACTATCGGTTAACTATTACTTACCAGCCACAGGACCCAGAAGAACCACCATGGCAATCAGTCCAACGTGAAGAATTGTTATTCGGGCTTCGACTGCCATGTTTTTTCTTTTCTTTTCTCCTCCTCTTCAAAGACAATATATTCTGATTTATTCGGTTACTTGTACAGCTGTCTAGGCTTCAGACTGCAGTCATGCAAGAATATTTGTGCTTTGGAGAGTCCAGCATCACACATTTTTTTCAAAACAGCATCAAAAGCAAGTTGTTCCTTTTAGAATGGCAATGAAATAGAAAAAAAAAACTATCTTAAATATCTTGCATTAACCTTCGCATTGCTTTTTTTCCCCCTCCAGCAGGAAGCATCAAATGTAACCAGCTGATGGCTGCTTAATCTGTCTACTGAGAGTCTGTGTCTGTTGTAACAAACCAAATTAACAAATCACATCAAACTTTGTTTCCCCCTTTGTTCCAAAGCAGGCGCCCCATACATTTGCCTAATCAGAGTTTAGCGCAGTTATATGGGACATCCCGAGACCGCAAGTCTCCTCGACGGAAACACAGTTTGTGGTACAGGGTAACATCCGTTGCGTGACTCCCGACTATTAAAATGTCAATTTGTCGTCATATTCCTCGCGTTCGTTATCTTTTGATCTTCGTTTCAGGAATTTTCTCTGTTTCCATGATTCATTGAGCTGGGAAACTGTACGTTTTGCGTTTTTCGTCCGTACTCCAAACAAGGGGAACGGCAACAGAAGACCAGACAGCGACTGGAAACGCCTCGTCTTCAGATTGTCTCCGGGATCCGATTGTTCGATGTGGGGGCCGATTTATAAGAGAAAAGAGGCGAGGCGCCCTCATGCGGCAGACTGAGAGAATGACACCATAGGAAGACACTGAGGAAAATATAAAGGCTGACAAATAAACACTGCCCTTAGAGGAGAGCTGTAATTTTTTTTTTACTGAGCTGTAAATTCTTGTTTTAAAATGACCTAGACAACCAGTTTATATATATATATATATATATATATATATAATATAATATAGTATAATTTACATTTACATCACATTTTGGGACAATAGAAGCGATCAAAATCAACAAAAGAGCAATAATATGTAAGTGCTGTGACAAGTTTTAGTTAGCCTAATGCAGTATGCAAGGGTTTTTTATATAATACATAAAAAGAAAACAAGTATATAGAATAGAAAAAAAAGAATAGGGAACATTAGTGTTAGAGTGTCTTTTTTAAATATAAAAATAAAACAAGTCAAAAGAATAGAAAAAGAATAGCTAGTGTTGGAGGGGCATTTTTTATAATAAATAAAAAGAAAACAAGTAAGATAGAAATAAAATAGAGAGTGCAAGTGAGGGTCAAGTGTTGTTGTTTTTTAATAAATAATTAAAAAAAACAAATAGATCAAATAGAGTTAGAATAGAGAGTGCTAGAGTTAGAGGGTCAATTGAAGATATAGAAGAGATGTGTTTTTAGCCATTTATAATTCACAAATATCTTATTTATATAAATTATAATTGAAATATCATTTAGTTAAAAATAAACAATTATATTATAGACAAGAAACATGTTTGTTTTACCTGTTTATATATATATATATAGAGAGAGAGAGAGAGAGAGAGAGAGATAGATAGATAGATAGATAGATAGATAGATAGATAGGATGACTGGAACATAGTTCCAACACTTTGTGTGTGTGTATATATATATATATATAAAGTGATTTATGTACCAGTCATCTTTTTAATTATATTGTAATATTACATAATATATACTATTAAAATATTATAGAAATGTTTTATTTTATTATATCATATTTATTGATTTGATTTGATTTAAATATTATAATTATATTATTAATATAATTAAAATATCAAATATTATATGACTGTTCTCAGTTGTACAGCAAATATATATATAGGCCTACTTGCATATGTAACTATTTATTCTCTTGTGTGCATAATTTCACATTTTCAATATAATAATAGTATGCTTCTATTTTCTGGTGAATTTTCTTACATTTGTTATCAATTGTAAAAACTATTACGTTATAAATAGGACTACATACATCTATGCGTTACTGAATATAGCCTACATTGTGTATTGTACCTGTGACTTGATATGTTTATAGCGTGATAGCGCCCATCTCTGGTCGCGGACTCGGAGCAGACATCAGCAGCACGGAGGAAAACAGCACCACGCGCCTCAGCAACAGTAACGTAGTCTAACTCAACGCCAGCTGTCCTCTGAGTCTGAGGGGGGCCCTTACCGCCCCTCCCCAAAAGACATGTCTGCAACCGCATAAACCAGAGAATTTCGAGCCTTTTGTCCTTCAGCTGATGAGGACCAATTCATACATTCACACGCTTCGATATTACAGCCCCAGCATCACCTTTACACAGCGACAGCGCATCGACCACCAGCAGCGCAGCAACGCCCATAGCAACGGCGCTGCGCATCCTCAATCTGTTTCTCCGACCCAGCAACACCAACAGCCAACCTGCTTTCCGACGACCTTCTGAACGCTGGATCCATATCACACCGTTGTGTTTTTCTTTTTATCGCAAACCATGAACGCGTCGTGTGCGGTTGTCTCATCAGTCAAAGGTGCGTATATGAAACACCGTGCGCTCGTTTATCAATGCATTGCATGTTATTGTTCTATTGTGGATGCTGTTTTTGCACGCCGAGTAATTTAATCCATGAAACTATTGTAGATTATTAATAATGTGACAAGTGTAGTCTATAAAGCATTGGCACAAACCGAGATGCATGCGGTTCATCGTCTTGTTTTCGTTGTTGCTGAGCGCGGGGTGCGGTGCTGCAGATTTCACACTGATTCAACTCTGCGTCTGCTGCGATCATTTCATAATCCATCGGCAAAAACAATTATAAACGCCTAAATAGAGTTTTGACATGTATGCAAAATTATTTGTTTCATTGATGCAGTAATTTTATGTTATATGTATATAATGGTTTGGCTATTTTATTTTAATGACGAATTATTTCACCAAAGATTTTATTTTATTAATACATTTCATTAATTTGGTCTTGCAGCGTGTTCTGCATTGCATTAACATTACACCTTATCTAAATCGGTTGCCACGGCAAACACCATGGCTAAAAACAGGCTTTAGGGGGCACTATGTGGGTGAACAACATTACGTTTTAAACAACAGCCATTACAATCGCTCAGCCTTCAGCTGACTGTAGGCTGTATTACAATGTTTCACATTAATGCATAGAAATCTTACAGAATGTCAAACCAGGACACAGATGGAGTGAATTTTACAAAGTGACCTCAGTGATCTTGTGTTTTTGTTGGTTTATACATGGTAGGAACAGACAAAGGGAGAAAAAGATGCGTGTAGTGAAGAATAATAAGATTGCGGAGAATGTAGAATATAAATGGGGAACAGAGGTTAAAACAAAATGGAGCCACACATGATGGATTATGAGATAATGGATAGAGGCCAAGAGATAATGATTGTTTTATTGCAGGAGAGGAGGGTAACAGCTGGGTCAGCTGGTCAGCAGTTTTTGCTGTGCAGAATAAAAAAAGATTAACAAATTACCTTCTAAAATAATTATATATATATATATATATATATA